GAGAGAGAGAGGGAGAGAGAGAGAGAGAGAGAGAGAGAGAGAGAGAGAGGGAAGATGCGGGACAGGAGGGTTGGGAGGAAAGAAGAGAGAGAGAAAGAGAGAGAGAAAGAGACATTGCGGAAAGACAGAGACAGAAGTGCGCTCGCGTACGCCGCTTCTCGTCGCGCTTGCGCTTTCTATCGCAAAGCTCGGTTCGTTCTCTCGGTCCTCGTCGGTCGTAGCCGCGATCCTCCGTTCCGCCGGTGTCGCCCACCTCGGGCTCAGTGAGCCGGTGTGTGAGCGCCGCGACGCCTAGAACAGCACTGTCGTCGTCGAACGTCGTCGTCGTCATCGTCATCGTCGTCCTCATCGGCGTGGATTTAGCGACGATCCCACGTTTCCCTCGTCCTCAGCCTCTTCGTCGTCGTTGTGGTCGTTCTCGATTGAGCGCAGTCTATCTTCGTCGTCGTCGTGGTCGTCATCATTGTTGTCGTCGTCGTCGTCGTCATCGTTGTCGTCGTCGTCGTCGTCGTCATCTCGTTGCTCTCGATCGTATACCACGGTGGTGCTGGCACATACACGGAGGCACGCGACTTCCTCGAGCAGTTCCGTGCGCGAGTCGCAGTTGGCGCGGGAAGAGAGAGACAGACGAGTGCAGTACTACCTTTTCCCCCTCCCCTTACTTCGTCTATCTGTCTCTCCTGCTTCTTCCCTCTTCCTCCTCCCACTCTTCCGCTCTCTCACTCACTCTCTCTGTCTCTCTGTCTTTCACTGTGCGTATGCACGCTCTCGTTCTCTGCACCCCTTTTGCCGCCATCGTCGTCCTCTCTCATTCTCACGATCGCGCTCGCTCTTCGCACCCTGCACCAAGGCTCAGCCTCCGTCACTATCTTCTCCTAGCTGGTTCACGTGCTGCGCTCCGCGAACATACGCTGTTTTCGATCTTTACGACCTGCGAGTTCTCCTGTCCGTTCCGACCTCTGGACGACGAACGCGCAGCAGCAAGGGCGAGTGGAGAGTGAGAGGTAGAGAGAGAAAAAGAGAGAGAGAGAAAGAGAGAGTGTATGTTGTGTGTGCGAGAGAGAGAAATACAGGCCCGGGAACGTGGCGCGCGGAAGAGGACGAAGGATGTGTAGACACCGTGGCGTCGTGCCTGTCGTGTCCACAGGACCTCCGAGGTGGATGTTCGTGTAAGAAAATGTACTCGCGTGACGGTCCTTAAACCTCGCCTCGAGCGTGCATTCTCTCGTGCATAGAGAAGGAACGAGAGGGAGAAAGAGAGAGAGAGAGAGAGAGAAAGAGAGAAACGCCTGCCGGGACGCCTGCCACGGGCAGGAAGAGCGTTAGAGGGAGCGCGGGAAAGAGGGAGAGAAAGCGGGAGACGGACTGAGCGAGTGGGGGCGATAGAGGGTGGCTGGGAGGGGAACTTACGGACAGGGAGAAAGAGAGAGAGAAGATAGCGATGCTCGAACGTGATGCTATGCACGACCGCGAGGGTTGTTCCGAACGACGACGGTAAACCGAATGAACATTTGATTCCTTTTTGGATTGCGTGATACGTAAACCTGTACGCGCGCAGCCCACGTCCTGCGTGTCGCTGCGAGCGCGCCTTGCTTCATGGTTGCTCATGACGGCGATCAGCGCGTCGGCGGATGACAGGACCCGCGAGGGTACGTCAGGCCTCTCACTGATACGCGCTGTCTCGGCTTGGCAGCTCGGCTCGGCTCGCTCGTAGACTTTGTCGATGTTGTGCATAATCGTTCTTTACGTACTCATCCACACAAGCTTGCACGCAATTACTTGTTGGTTGGTGTATCTGCTCTATTTGAGATGATCGATGTGTATGTATGCACGTTGGTGGTGTCATCGTCCGACGATCTCTGTACCTTATCGATAATTCTTCGTGCACGCGCCCGCTGATTGATCGCCGTGAGTTGCAAAGGGTCCTAGTGCCAAGTATCGGAAACGAGGAAAGTTTCGATGGAGTTGTACTGCCGCGCGCGCGCGCGCACGCGACGCTGTTAAATGCCGCTTTCTCACCATGTGAAATTTTCAGAGAGGAACTGAATCTGTCGTTTAGATTCCTCTTCTCTGGGGTATACCGCGTTTGGTCTTTTTCACTCGTCGATACTTGGACCTTTTCCAATTTACGATACTCTCATTCAGTGTCGCGTTCACCGCTAAATGTTGCCGCGTTCGATTCTGAGTTTTATGTGCACAGGCCGTATTCGATGTAACATCGTGGGATGAGAATCGTACAGATTTCACGCTAAATGTGCGATGTGAATACCAAACAATGATGTAACTGATGCCCTCGATGTATCCTTGTAACATGAATGCATGTGTCTATATGGATGGCTTTTATACGGGAACAACCAAAGACCTTCATGTCAAAATTGAGGAATCTTCAACTTGTTTCTACAGCAAATTTTGTGTTGTAGGAACAATTTACAGTATAATAATATTTAACGATTTAATTCACTCAATCAGTCGTTAATCCCAAACAGCTAATTTTCTGAAAGATGTCTAAATAAGTATGTCTTTTGGACGTCTTTAAGACCGGTTTGTGCAGTTTGTGGGATGGATTAATGAAACGGATTTATCAATATTTATTGCATAAAAGTCATCCCTTACATCGAATTCGAGTATTCAGCTAGAAGTATATGTCATAAACTTGTAAACTAAATGTCTTCTACTTATCTATGTGTTCGTGAAAGAAAAAATAATAAAGATTCTCATTATCTTGTACCCTTGATCTTATCGACGCGCCGAAATGAATCGTAAAAATTCGCCTCGGTCACGACCTGTTGAACACATCGCGAGCAGAATTTCCTACTATAGCTCCAGAGAAATACGTGTTCTTTGTCAACATGAGGATCGAGTAATCGCTGAATGAATGTCCGTACAATGAAATGCACAATGATGCTCCAATACATTCCGTTTCATTCGCGCTTTACAACGCCTCTTGGTTCAACAGAAAATAAAAATTGTTCCTGTTAAATGTCGCTTGCAACGTTCGCGTAGATGTGGACTACTTTAAATGTTCTTCAAGAGAAAGAGATATGAAAAACGTAGTAAGCAAAGAGACTCGCACGCAGAAAAATACATCGCATTTCAGTAAATGTTACTTGTTCCAAATATTTAATGAATTTATATTCACAAATCTGTCATAAGTTTATCATAAGCGTCAAATTTATATTCAAAATACATTTTGAATCCTAGTAAGTTTAGTACTTTTTAATGAAGAATATTTAATTAAAATAAAAATTCGGTTTGCTTTCGAGTAGATTTTTTGCAAATTTTTTGGAATAGAGGTGAATCAACTTTTTTTCAATAAAACTTTGTAATATTCTTAGGGAGGAAATAAATTCTTCTTTCAGTACTTAAAATCTCTTCCAAAATTCGTAACGAGTATATTTTAAGATTATCAGGAAAATATTCTTTGCTGAAAATAACCATTGATTAAAATGAGCAAAGTAAACTGAATAATCGCTTTTTAGCAGTACACTGAAAAAAAATTTTGGTATTTGTAAGTATAATTACATAGAGAAATAATTAATGTAAATTGTGATCAAGAAAACTATTCTATATTAAATACTATTATATAATATTAATGATATTTTATATGCACATTACTACTACCATATTCATGTTAGAACTATCAAGAAATACAATTGGGGCAAAAGTAACTAATTTTAGTCGAATCAACCATATTTTTTCCCAGTATAGAATGATATTCTTCTGTGTGCGGCAAATATGTCGAGGCTCTCGTAGATATTTACGTAATGATAGCCTCTTATAATTTTTAATGTCACATAAACAACGCTACGGTATTTTAAAAGTGACCCAAGTGCCAAAAATGTCTAAAACAAAAAAATTGACGCGAATCAAAGAGTTTGTCATATATAAAAACGAGAGAACAAAAGGAGATACGAGCGGGAAAATGCACGCGTGTGCACGTAAAAAAAAATTATGAGAGATCCTTGAAACTGCCGATAAAGTTAAACCAGGCGTTATTTACGAAATGGCACTTCGATCCGTTTTAAAGTACACGTCTCGAGTGTAACCAGCTGTGTAATTTAGTTGGCGAGCGCGCGAACTGGTGCGCGTGCTCGCGAATGATTCATCGGCGCATTTTGCACGACGCTGGCTGAAAAAACCGACTATTTTCGGCGCTTCGAACGGTGTCCATTAAGCGGGACGTTTTAACGGTCTTTACGTGGATTCAGCTCGTAAAACAGGAAGCTGATATCAGCGTATCATCGTGTTATCGCGTAATGTGAATTTACATATGACAATGCCTTTCTATTATGACCGGCGGTTAGGTTAGGTTAGCGGTAGTGGCGTTATATTACCAAGTCGTTCCGTCGTAATGTATAGCTGCATATACACGTAACTCTCTCTCTCTCTCTCTCTCTCTCTCTCTCTCTCTCCCTCTCTCTCTCTCTCTCTCTCTCTTTCGCTCTGCTCTGCTCTCTCCTCGTTTGGTCGGACCATAAAGCGAGTAATATAGCTCGCATACAAAATGAAATATTTCAATTGTGGGACTCGCGTTAATTGCGCGCGCGAGCGCGAATGCGGGCGCGTCGCTTCAATTACGCTAATGAATTACGGGCGAGCGAGTACAACGTGGGCGCATGTGCGGCCGAGAGAAGAATGGGGATTCCCGCTCAAAGAAGGATGATCTCGCGTCGCGGTTCGATCGATCCGAGATACGACGACGGTTCGGAGGACACGCGACGGCAAGGGGGGGGGGGAAGGGAGTGGGGAATAATGAATATGTAAATATTCCGGTAAATATTCCGGGTGCGCGGTGCACGTTGTTGCTTGTAAATAGCGGAGTGCGTGTAACAGGTGGTGCGCTCTCTGTCTCGCACAGAGAGTATCGGTGTCGTCACGTCGCTTTTACACTTTAGAGAGAAAGAGAGAAAGAGAGGGGGAGGAAAGAAGGAGAAGAGAGAAAGAATATCAATATATTTTCCTTCAATTTGTATAACCAAGAAGGAGACTTGGTTTACAATTATATTCCTTAATCACACATATCCTTCCATTCCTTATTTCTATTTACGCATCACGTTTAATCAAGCATCCATGTATTTGGACGCCATCTAAATCCTATAGCTCTTACACAATAATACAGAATGACGATGACGACGGTGACGACGGTGGGCTGCGTGATGATGTAACCACGCGGTGAATACGGGCCCCTGGCCCACGTGTTACGCAACGACGACGTACGCGTGTCTCGCGCTTGCACAGCCGTTTCACGAGCACGAGTCGTGTGCTCGTTGCATCCGTCTGTCTCTAACCGTCCCTCTGTCCATCCGTCTCGCAGTTAGTGTCTAAGAGGAATCTCGTGGACAAAATTGCTCGCAATTTCGTCGTATTCACGTGCTTCAAGAGAGAAACATTAAGCGTCCGTGCAGAGCATTTCGTTGTGGCTCGCTCTCTGATAAGGCAAGTCGGCGAGTTTCATCGTGATAAAACTGCAAGTCAGACAAAACTCGACGAATTAAGTAGAATTGTAGTTTTTCTCGCCAATGTTATATCCGGCTTTCGCATTTACAGCGGGCATAATCGTCTTATATTCAGATATTAAAGTCGACTCTCTCATGATTATCACAACGTGAGACAATGATGGAAAGAGAGAGTTTTTTTCGAATATTTTCATTGCATTTATGAGACAAATATACTATATACGGAATTAATCATTAAATTTACATCCGTATTCGATGCAGCAATGAATTTACCAAAAGTTACAACTCATATTCTTACGTTTTACATACATGACATATAGTTTTGAATAAATTTTGATAATTCCTTTCGCGTATTTCCATTTCTAATTTATTCTAATTATTGACAAATATAAAGTTGTTGCCAAATTAATGTACATCTCTCTCATCATCTGGATATATTCATAAGGTGCTCTTTCGCATAATATTAATTTTCCATCCTTCAATTTGTGATAACATAATAAATCGATTGAAATAGCCTCGACGCGAGTGAAAATATTTAATTAATTCATATGATGTGCTATAATTTGAAAATGTAAAATTGATCATATTTCTAGGGTGATTCATTATTAAAGGCAACAATTTCGGATTATATAGCTACAACTAATCGCTCGACTAATGCGCGTGAAAATATTTAATTAATTCACACAATTCATTAATTCACACAATTATTTCATTCATTAATTCACACATTTTATTTCATTAATTCACACAATTCACAAAATATTTAATTAATTCACACAATTTCCCACGACTTGAAAGTATAAAATCTACCATGTTTCCAACGTGATTCTTTCTTAAGGGCAATAAGTTCAGATTATATAAGTACAATGAAATATTTCCCAGGTGGACTCCCGAAAGCCAGAGCTTTTGTCCGCTTAGGCACATTGTGCGCGCGTCAGTTCGTCCGTTTGTTCTGTTGGTGTGTGCGTGCGCATTCATACACGTGCATCTTGTGTGCATGCATGCATGCGTGCGTGCGTGCGTGCGTACCACACGCACAAGATGCACGTGGCGGGGCCCGTGGCAGTAAAAACTTAACGGCGCATTCTCGCGATCGCTCTCCACCGCGCGATAAAATTTACGCGCGTCGTAAATAATTACAATAAAAGCGACGTGAACGCGAGTATCGGCCCTCCCCGGTGTTACGACCGCTGCTCCGGCTGCCGGCCGAATGAAATCGTTCGGGGCCCGAATTATCGCGTGGACCGTTTCGTTTGGGGGACCCAGACGCGCATTTTTACGTGGGCCTTTGCGAGGACGATCTTTCTCGAGACCCCGAGAGTCGCGCGAGGCTCCGACTTTACGGCCTTACGGGATCAGATTCGCACAATTTCTGGGACTCGTAAAGCGTCCCCCTTTCCTCCCTCCCTCCCTCTCCTCCCGCCCTCGGGAACTTCCCTCGACATGTAAAACGGGGCCTGAGAGTCAGAGGCGTAACCGCTGGAATGACGTGATCCGGAAGCGCAAAATTGAACGAAGCGCGCGTAATAGAGTGAGAAAGAGAGAGAAAGTGAGTGAGAGAATGTGTGTGTGTGAGAGAGAGAGGGAATTTTCGTGGCTCGTTGTCGAATCCACGCAGCAGCGCTGACCTTTCAGCGTCCCGGGACTGAAATGATCGCCGGCGCCTGATAACGTGGCCGATCGATATCTTTATGCCGCCGTAGCATGCACACTGTGTGAAACGCGCGATCTTTCCTCGTAGGGCTCGCCTCGTATCCCGCAGGCTGTCGACTGCCGCGTAATCGCACCACGACGAGCTCGTCGTCCCGACAACAACACCGCCGTCGTCGGTGGTAGCTGCTGCATCATTGCCGCACGTAAAATGAACGAACGATCCACGGGGGTGAGAGCGTATAGTGCGTAGGGCGCGCCGCGACGTGATGAAATGAGAAGAGAACGTGCGGATTGTCATTCCGGAAGAAGAGAATCGACTCGAACCTAGGACCGATGGTGATGACCATAGCCTGTCGAGACACGTGTGTGACTTCTCTTCCATCATCGACAACGTAACAGCTGACGACGTCTGATCATCGTGCACCACTGTGAGACCTGACCGCATCCCCGACATAACACGGACCCGAGCGTGCGCGAGCGAACGCATCCTTCGAGGAGATCGTACTCCGCTGACCGGTGAGTACCGCTTCAATGACGCTATCGAGTGTACTCTGTCAGTGGCTCGTCCGCTTATAGTCAAAACGATGTTGTTGGAGAACTCGTGTTCTTTTCTCGTCCAAACGGACGACTGCATCTCCTCTCGCGGGGGAAGAGAGGATCAGGTTCTCTCCCGTTCACTCACACATACGCGGAAGGCCGATTGCTCAATAATAGTCTAAGCTTGAGACTAGGTTAGGTTAGATTGAAACTCTGTTCTAACGATGTGTTTATACAGAGCTGAAAGTTATATCTAACCTTTCAACCTTTCGAAAAGTGTTAAAATATTGAATTTCTTTTGATTTTATCAAATTATTGTTATTATTTTTAACTCATAGCGAATACAAGTTGAATATATTTTTATTTTAATTTCAAAAATTCATAAAAAAATAGCAATGAAGAGAAGAAATGTTAACTGTACAACTTACTCAACTGCAGATAAAGAATGTGTGAATTGATCCCGTGTTATTCAAAACTCAGGAATCATTTCTTTTTATTCTTTTATATGCATTGCTCTTTGCTGAGCGAGAACCGTGTTATTCGAGCTCCGTGCAACCCCGTTCCCGACAATACTGATATACATAAGCTTTTTACAGCAACTTTAAGTATATTAAATCACGATATTCAGCAAAGTTGAGTCCCTTACGACAGATTACATTTATATTTGTTTATCACATAGAATGACGGAATAGAAACACGAAGGAAATACAAAAAAGGTGATCAAAATCTGCTTCAAACCTATCATGTTAAATGTAACATGAAAATCTCAATGTAACTTTCAGTAAACTTGTTGCTATATCGATATAACGAAAAGTTTACATTATTGCATGATGTAACTTAATAGTTAATTCAATGCAATATATTTACTTCCTAAATGTAATTAAAAGAGTTTCCATCATCGATAGTTTCGTGAAAGTCTGAGGTGTTACTCGATTTTTTTGACCGTGCTATATCCGAGATTGCGTGCAATTCAATAGCACCGCGTTACTCGAGGAATGTTATTTGTTCGTCAGTCCGCAAAGCTACCGGGGGCAGCTCTCTCGCACTCTCGCGCGAAAAATCAGTCCTCGCTCTATCGAACGCGTGATCGATGATGGCGATGCGATCACTTCGCCCGGAACGAATCGCCCCAATGGCGATCTGTTACGCCGCGGCTCGCATCAAATGCAGGCACAATGCCGAATGTAATGCGCATTAAGCGCAGCCCTGCGTAGCGCGTACCTTGACGACGGTGCAATGAATGAAGGCAGCGTGATGCAGCTCGTGCAGATGGAAGTCGTAACGCCGGAGGGGGAGGAAGAGCGCGCGCTATTACTCCTCAATGGCCGGCCGCGGTTAATTGCGAGGCAATATTCAAAGTGATTCCCGAGGTCTCCGGCAAGAATACGGCCTAATTGACTTGTAAGCCGACGCATTCGACCGGCGGCTGATCGCAAACGGCATCAGCGTTTCTGTCTGCGAACGGCCGATATTGCCGGCGCTCACGAGACGGTCGATTCCCGGTATTTCAGGCATCGCGGACGGCGTCGTAAACCTTGCCCGGCATTTTCGCACGGAATATAATTAGTGGCAAATATTTATTGGCGGAAATGTGCATTCGTTAGTATTAATTTCATTGGCGCCTTCATGCCGCGGGCGTTAGGGATCCTCGTGAGCGTCATTTGCATCTTCGCAAATATTTCGCTGTAAATCAGCAGCTCCTTTATTATTCGCGTTAATTTGCCTCGCAAAGCTGAGCCTTTCGGAGATGTGATTTGTAACGAGAGTACTATTCGGAGAGAGAGGGCGCGACTATCAAGACGCGAAGAGTGAATCGTGAGCAAAGGCGTGCCGAGGCAACGAATGACCACGCGCGAATAAAATACGCGAGTGTAAAATCGTATTTCTCACTAAGTGCTCGGCATTTCTTAAAAAGCCATCTCGGATAATTGTTCCGGGCGAGACGGAGTATACCTGCCGGCGGCCATTTCGCTACCGGTATTCAATTCCGGCGGGGACTGCGAGAAAGCATAATTAACGCCGGCGGATTGTAAATTCACTCTAGTATAAATATTTGCATCTCGGAACTCCGCGCACAAAGCCTGCATACATTTGAATATATCTTCTTTCCGCGGAGATTCCGCGGGGCGCGCCGCATATCGGCGATACGACTAACATCGCGCTCGGGCTTATTTCAATTTCCGTAACTCTCGCGACGTTGATCTTCTTGGATCCACAAAATTAAAGCGAATCGCCGAAGAGCGGCGCGGTCGGAGAAGCGGAATGCTCGGGAATTGTCGAGAGATATCGCGGCGTTCTAGCGGCATCACGTAAACGAAAAAAGGGAGAAAGAGAAAAGGAAGAAGAGAGGTAGACGCTCAAACAAAAACACCGATAATGTTTCGACAATCCCGGGAGAAAGAAATGTTTGTAAACGAAATTCCCGCTTCCCGTCTCGTAAAATTTCGCACCTATTACACAGATAAGACAATACATACTGTATTCAAATAAGTATTGCGCATTTCAAGTATTTCATATTTTTATACAAAATACATTTTATATACATTACATTACATTATTTTGAGTACTTAACGTACACGTGTACAAGAGATTTTCGTTATTATTTTTAATTATCTTTTTCTAGATGTAGCTTTGCTAGATATAGTTAGATATATATCCTTATATCCTATATATCCGGTTTAAAATACTCCCGATTAGCAAGATGATGTATTGATGTATTATTGACGTTACAGACGTCAATGATATTAAGACGTCATAAAACATTATTTGATGTAATCATTTTTCTTACATTATAAAGTAGAACAATTCTTATTCTGAATCAACGTCAAGTTGTGATCCCTTTTAGATGCAAGATAGATTAATTTCTTTCAAAATTTTCTTCATTATTTTTTAGATACACGCGCTCTTAAAACATATACTTTTAAAAGAAGTAAACTGAGCGATCATTTCACCTATTAGTAGAATAGTATTTTCCTGCGTACCACAGCGCCGTTATCTTGTCTCTAACAAACCGCCCCCCTCCCTCCATAATGCGCCAATTTGTATCTCACTAATTTCTAGATTGTTTAATTCTATCGTGCGATTTAACGCTCGACTTTCGCCGTTTTCGAAATAAATGCTTCATTTAATTTCCGTAATTTCTGTAATTGCCGTAATTTTCCAATGGACCGCGCCGTCATTCGATTATCGGCGAGGCGAATTTGCACGCGAATCGACTTTAACCCTTTGCGGCGTGGCATAATTTCGAGAGGTACGGTCCGATATTTAAATACCTTCTTTTATCCCGGCGACACCAGCATCGCCTAATGCAATAACCAACTTCCGTCATTTCTAGCATTATGTAAATATTCGCGGAATAATTGGCAACTGGTGATTATTCATAATCCTGGCTGTTTGGATTATCATAAATCACCGAGTCGACTTCACCCTCGTGCACGTTTCGCCAAGTTCACCCTTATCTACTTTCGCGCGTTTCTGAATTTCTTCCTCCCGGTACTACTGCCTATCGTCAATGTTTACATCAATACGAATGCACGAGATAACGCGTGCATTCGTATGAAACATTTCGCCTCGTACGGTTCCTCTGCTAATTTCTGCATTTCGCGGAAATCCAGACCAGACCCCAGCGAAGTCGAAATTTCGATGCTAGCGAGACGTGAAAATCGACCATTCTGCTTACCCGCGACGAAGCACGACGAGCGTAGCGTTGTTGATCGAACTCGGCGAAATTACTCCGATACCTTTCGGGCTCGCTGCGAACAGAACGATTCGCAAAGTACAGAAAGGTAGAGCCGTTTAAATCGAGGTTAGGTCCCGAGAAAGCGCGAGCTCGGGATGAGCGGAGTCAACGAACTTCCGCCGCGTTTACGTAACCCCGGCCGTGTAAACATATCGATCTCCGCGGGCATGTACGCATTGTAACTTTATTTCTCGAGCGGAGGCGTCCCGTGCATGCGGGCGATGAGACCAGGGTGGGTCAGGTTTGACCTTTTCCTCGCGACCCTTGCGCGGTCGGACCGGTTACGCGTATCGCGAACAATCGCGTTCCGTTTCGCACGTCCCGACGCGCCGCGCAAAAAGGAGCTGCGCGCTTTCGAGCGCGAATCCGACGCATGTCGACGTGCGCGAGAGACGTCCGCGACAGACGATGTCGTGCGTCACGATGTCGTCGGAACACGTTCGCGTTTACTCATCGTGCTGTGTGTTCCAAATATCTAGTCTTGAACTCGGAATATTCTTCAAGCGACAATTAGGTAAATTAATGTATTCTTTAAAGTGGAACGAGATTTTTTTTAGGAGCGAGTGACAAGTTGGCTTTGATGAACATAAAATCAACAGTGAAATGCCCTGACTGAAATACTCACACAATCGTTACTTGAAACTTGTCCACGTGATATACTGAGAGTTCAACATAAATTAGAGTTTGTAGTATATCAATATTTTTTTTCTCATATGTATTTTACCAATTTTTTCTTTCTTCTTTCTTCAGCATATTTCTTTACCATACTTTCTTCTTTACATATTCAAATTTGCACCCCATATTCCATTGCTTTAATACCCTATCTCACTCTTAATTTATAACTTCACTTAACCAGTTCACTTTCTACCATATATTTTGATATACAAACTAACTTAAACCATCTTGTATAATTCATCATAATTCTTTCCAATTCTTTTTTCTCTTGCCATCTTCATAATTTCACCCCATGTGACAAACATTTTACATTAAATACTCAAATAAGGTTCATCTTCTTCCAAAATTGTCTTTACAATTTTTCTCATCCAATTCTCATATCTTATTAACAGCCTATTTTTTCTGTACAATTCCTTGATATGTCTCTTATAGTTATCTGCCCTATTAAACATAAAGCCTAAATATTTAATTTGATTTATTCAATCTGTACCTCTTGAATTCTCTAGTCTCTCTAAATAAATGGATACAGATATTTTTCTATAAATCGTTGAAAGTGCTTCTAGTGGATAGTTGAAATCTGAAAAGGTTTGTGGAGTTTAATTGCTAAAGCTACGAATAGCTTCAGTTAATTCCCGACTTGATCGATTTAACCTCACATCTCCCTTCTTAAATAAGAGAAATCCATTCGTTATCTTAATTTAAGAGCCATGTGGGTGGCAGATATCAGCTTAACCTTAACAGTAGCCAGGTATTTTACGTAACAGCGAGTATTAAGGGAGGAGGGTAGAAGAGCGAGTATATTGTGTCCATTACGTAAAACCACATTTTCTCGTGCAGCAATTTCCCGTCGACTACCGACAATTTACAGAGAAATATCATTACGCTGTGACAGAGATGCTAACCAAACTATTACATAACTTTTTCCCTCATAAAAGGAAGAACAAATATAATTTTTTCGATGCTGGTAATAAATGTATTCGAAAAAGATCCTCTGTGCTTCTCTCTTCATTCCTATCCCTTCGTTACTAATACGATTAATTCTTTCGGTACTATGAACCCATATACGCATTGAGCAAATCCAATCAGCGTGCGTTACGAACTCATATATGCATTCGGTGAATGTGATATCGGCGTGTGATGTGAATTCGCGCATGCGTGCGGCGAATATCTTTGGCTTATACCATCGAAACATATACAAATGGGTTATTTCAAACTGTCTTAAGGCTCGCCTGAATAGTCGCCGCAGCCATGTTGGATTATGACGTCAGAAATGAGAAATAACAGGATTTTTGCGTGACATTTTCAAAGAAACAGATATTTATACGAAGGAACACTTCAGATTGCTTAAGTATACTTATAAAATGTTCTTATCTTGTTTGATGGCCATTAAAAAGATATAAAATAAACGTGGAAAAATCATGAGGAAAGATAGGTTAAAGAGGAAAGTTGCTTGTCACGTTAATTTCATGGCTATTTATTGACAAAGGAAAAGAATAATTTTCGAGGTATTTTAAAAGTCTGCTTCAACGATTAGAAGTGTTGTTCTATATAAATATCTTTTTAATTGAAAATAGCATGCGCAAGAGTTTTGAACATATGTTTTCTCACTTCTAACGTCATCAATCAAAAATTCCGCGGTAAACACCCAGAAGCCTTTGATCCGTATTAATAGTTGTTACTTGAAACTTGTTTCAAGTGAGATTTCCAGATTTGAATTTAGAGCTAGGTGTGAATTTTTTGGAGGAACTGCGATTACAAATGTAACATCGCACATATCATACGATTTACTAGAAAAGTTTTGATCCAACTCTAAATTCACGTCTGAGTATCTCATGTGAGACTTCAAGCGACGACTATACAGAACTTAAAAAACTCATAATTAAAAAGATAATGAAACTGTCGCCAAGCTCTCCAAAGCACACGTGTTTTCCAAGTGCGCCGTGCCGAAAGGCTTAACGATCGCTGGATTGAGAGAAAAAATTACTCACCAGACTCAAAATCCGCGCCGCGCAGCCTTGGGTGTACGCGTCGCGACGACGCACCCTCCGAACGGCTAACTTCACGGCGTCGCCCCGTCGTGTCCAGTGCGTAACCAACTGGCGATTCTCACCCGTCGACACCATCTCGCGAAGTAGGCAGATCGCCTTCCACGACATCCGCGGGCGCGACAAATCGCTCTTTAAACGTCACTCCAACGTCACGCACGCGGAATCTCGTGATTATCGCGTCATCCGGCGGACTACGTACATCGATCCGTCTCGCTAACCCCTACCGATGTCCCGTTCATTTTGTCAAACGACACGTGTCCTGCGTGAAGTCACGTGCGCAACGTAATAGGTATGTCCACATTCCTGTTGTTTGAATTCGCGTGAAGAGAGTCGCGGCCGAGACACTATTGCATACTGTACTCGTTGTCGATGTCGCCTCGATTGTGATTGATTATCGATCGACGGAAATGTATGACCTTTCGCGCGGAAGCTCCTTCGTTCTGCACTAACGCGCGTATACATACATAGTCGGCTGGTTTAGACACAATAGCTGTGTTCAGCAGAAAAAAACTGCTTTGTGTCGAAACTGTTGTAAAATGTATCTGATCAGCGTGTGCTTTTAATGTTGGATTTTAAGAACATGCACCAATCAGAGTCACGAATTTTTCAAAGTAGCTTTCTCTGCTAAATGCAGCCAATGAAGCGGGAAACTCACGAAACTATTAAAATTTTCAGTTATTATCGACAGGCTTATGTAGTAATAATATAATTAATAATAAAAAATAATGAATAATTGTTGCGCATGCCCGTCGATAATGACTCTAAATTTTAACAGCTTAGTGAGATTCCAACTTTATTGTGTTTAAGCCGATTTGCGACTAAAGCCCGTATTAATAGTTGTCACTTGAAACTTGTTTTGTATGAGATATTCCCAAATTTTATTTACCGACTTAAAAAAGTTCTTAGTTTATACTGTATGTATGTTTATTTGTTTGCATGTCCCTTTCAATTCAAGAACCGTTAGGGATCTTGAGACGAAACTTTTTGTAATTTGTTCAATATGTTATCTACATAGCTCTTGGATTAATGTTATTATTCGAGTTTGTCTAGGTAGCTTGGAGATTGAGTAATTTCATTATTTTCTTAAAAATACAGGAACATCAAGATATATAAGACGAAACTTTTATTTTTAACTGACTTCAAAAACAGATTTTTAGTAAATAATTAAAAATACGAGATGAAAAACTTAAGAAAAGGGAAGAAAAAACCACTTTCAAAAACTTCAAAGAGCCTAAAAGGTATGAAATAATTATCAATCAATTCTATAAAATATATGTATAATTCTATTCTAATGTTCTAACGATGTTAGAAGTCGACGCCAAAAAGACAAATTAGGTAAGTAACTAAATATATAACTATAAGAGGGAGAAAAATAATAAAAAAAGATACACTTATTGACTTAATCGATCAAGTTGTCATGCCGACTTCTAATATCTTTAGAATATTAGAATAAGATTGTAGATATATAGGAATATATATAAAATTATTTCACGCGTTTTAAGAGCTTTGATATTTTTTATAGTAAGATTCAAATTTTTAATTAAATAATATAACGCACTGAAAAAAGTCTGCCATGAATGTCGTGTGATGAATAAACAAACGCGTTTTGGTTGAAGGGAATAGAATTTATAAATTCTAGAACCAAATCTGAGTCATAAGAACTCCAGAAATTCGGTGTCCTTTAATTGCGTTGGTTGTGTTTGCCAAACCATACCTCCATGTTAATACAATTTTCTTTTCTCGTGTGTGAACCGCGACGTTACGTCTATAATCGCGCGATTCAACTGGAAAACTTTCACTCGACTCTAAGCACAAATCTGAGTGTCTCACTTGAGACGAGTTTCAAGCAACAACTATTAATGCGCGCCTGAATGTGCGTACACAGGCGTGCATGTGTGTGTGCGCTGGCGGGTGGCTACGATTAATTGTCGACTTCGTTAAGGATTAATTTACCATTTTCGGCGATTGGTAGCCATTAACCCGAGATAATTAGTCAGCCGCTGTTAGTTGTCAACAAGACAGTGGATGTAACAATGCTAAGCGAGAGGCGGACAGGCGGGCGGGGAGAAACGCGACGCGGAATTCGACCCCATGAATCATCGGCGCTTATTGCTCTCACAATGTCGTCGCATCAGCGCGACTCGACGAGACGAAATCTCGTTAAATAGCCGTTGATTCCGTAATTAAAGTTAACTCAGTTACGCGACAATCGCTTGTAATTTAATCAGCGCGCATAGTTACTCATTTCCATTATTTTACATAATATCAAGCAGCGATACCGGAGCGCTAATTAATGGCAGTCGTGTAATAGTAAAATGCGGTCCTCCTCCGCCGTAGTCTACGCAATTACATTTGGCTCTTTTTTTCTATCGAAAAAAGAAAAAAAAAGAATTTGCGTCGTGCGCAAGTATTCGCGGAGGTATTCGCGATACATCACCACCGAGAGCGACTATAAATTCGCGTGTTTCGTTGAGGTGAAAATTTATACCTTAACGTTCGCGTATCGCGATACACCTCTGTATATACAGGGTGTCCCGTCATGAACCACGCGATCTCTCGACTCTTCCGACGGGATTCCTCGCAAACTTTTCACGCGCTCGTGGACACGAGAGTGCCAAATCGCACCGGCAGAGAGTCGACCCTGCGAATCCGTCGTTAAGATCATAAATCCTGTCGGCCGACAACTACTTACAAGCCCCATCGTCCCAAGTATGCTTACCGCTCGTTCCGTGACGCGTGTGCCAACGCTATTTGTTTTTTCGCCGGGTGTCGCATCAGGGAGCGGTGCACTTGGACACGGTGCATTTGGACACAGCCAATCACAGCACCGTGTGATTAGAGACATTTGTAGGGTCCCTTGGAATAGCGACTTGTGATTGGACTGTGTCCAATTGCCCCGTGTCCAACTGATATACACCCGTCGCATCATACCCGCCTCGCTCTGATCGGCGTTCGAATCGATCGGAGACAACTTGCCCCATCATCAAAGGAGGGAAATTACGGTCGTCGACTTCGGGACACTCTGTATATGCGTGAGCGCGCGAGCACGCATGACTGATATATAACGGCGGTTTGGTCGCAGTTCGGGCGCGATACCGAATTTAATAACGCGCAACTGCGGGCGCGGCGAGGTGCGACGACGTACAATCGGGACAATCAACGTCGTCGGGCGAGCGAGCGGCCGTTAGCCCGCGATTACGGGCGACTTTATTACACGACTGCCACTCCTAGCACAATCGCCGGCATTATCGGTAGACGTACGTACGTGCGTAGCCGGTGCTCGCGGCGGTGATGCCGGGCGAGGCGAGGCGAGGCGAGGAGGCAGAGCGCGGTGAGGGACGCGACCGCGAGTGCTCTATCCGACGATCGGATTTGCCTCGCAGCGGGCACTCGAGCCGAGCCGTTCTCGCTCGGGGGCGAACGAGCGCGCTCTATCGACGCGCGGAGGGGAGCCCCATTCTTAAAACAGCGCGCTTAATCGACGGACGTCTCGCTTAAAGGGGAAACGACAGCGGCTAATGAACGTGTCTCTCGCGCATCGATCGCCCGATGTTCCTTTTCTTCTCTCTCCCTTACTGTCTTTCGCGCGTATCCCTTTTCGACCGCTGCGCACGGATATATACTGAACCGTGGTAACTTTGTCGGAATGTTGGCGGTATGACGGTGAAGAAGAAAACAATTACATGCACAATCGAACTGCACTTTTCATGGAAATGAACATCCGTTGACATCTTATCATATTTTTATATCTCTCATTTAGCTTTCCACTTTACATCCACTTTACACAGAAAAGTACATTCAAATAAATATTATCTGTTTCAAATATTTTATACACTCGGAAAAGAATACTTGAATATTTATTTATAGGATATAAAGGTTATTCATAGAAATTAATTACATGAACGCGTGCTCATCCAGTCTACTGTAATTGGCCGTAGTCGTGCGAGAATAATCCAACGCGCAAAATTATGATTTTTTTAACGATTTATCGACCTATGCAATAAGCGAACCGAATTTTTGTTTTAATTTAATATTCTTGATCGCAATGTTAAACAATTCAGAATATATTTTGAATGAATTTGTGTAAACTTGCAAATATATGTATAAATTCACACTAAGAAATAAATATTTGAAAATTCATTTGTAGGATATAAAATTTATTTTGGTGAAATTCAGTTTCTGTGAATAAACTTTATATCCTAAATAAATGTTTAAATATTCTTTATTGTGTGTGTGTGTGTGTGTGTGTGTGTGTGTGTATGTGTGTGTGTGTGTGTGTGTGTGTAAAATATTTGAAACAAATAATATTTACTTGAATGTACTTTTCTGTGTGTATGTAAAGTGGAAAGCTAAATGAGATATAAAAATATGATAAGATGTCAACGGATGTTTATTTCCATGAAAGTGCAGTTCGATTTAATCATCGTGACATAATTTAACTGTTGAAGCAAAGAAAGTTTGATGTTTTACGATCGATTTCTTTTTCTCTGTAAAAATTTCCACGAACTGAGACTCGACTTGCGTTGATTCTCACTGAGAAGTTCAAGTCACAGCTCAACCAAACGGACTAGCAATGTAAACACTACGTGTAACGTGAATATAAACGAACGAACGGTTATTTCGGCGCGAACGCGATCGATTCTCTATTTTCGGAAATCTTTCCGCTCCACGCAGGTCGTATGCCAATCCGCACGTGAGATTCGAGTCACGGAATTGAAGAGGTATGCGGTTACCCACATACATTCGCGCGCGAGCACAGTAGCTGTGGACGGATACAGAGAGAGAAAGAAAGAGAGAGAAAGAGAAAGAAAAGGATCTTCGCGAGGAGCACCGGCTGTGTGCACCAATGAGAATCGCGAGCAATAATTCTTCCGGAGACACAGGTAAACAGGCTCTACTGTTTTCACTTCGTTATAAATAGCTCCCAAGCGCCGTTTACACGGCCGACCGAGCGTGATGTGCAAAAAGCAGCAGACGAGCACTGCTACGGGCGAAACGTCTATATATGTACGACGATAAGAAACCAACGACGCGCGCTCTGAACCCTCTATTTACAACGCGTAAAAACGAACAAAGGGTACCATTCGCGGTGAGCGCGTGTATAGCCGCCTCCTACGCGATTACCCGCCCGCGTTCTCGAAAAGGGACCCACTCGTCCTACCTGGTTCGCCTGGGTCTGTTCTCCCTTCTCGCTCTCCCTCTCTCCGCCGCGTGCGTATCTCTTTACACAAACCCGAATGCCGCGACTGTTGTTTGGACGTGGGAAGAATCGCGCAGCGGGAACAAACTTACGCGACCGTACGAAGCGTGGTGCTTCTCTCGCCGCGGAGATATTAGGTTAGGTTAAGTTCGCCGTTGGACGCGTGAAGTATCTCGCGAGTACGTCATCGATTCGTAAATCGACCCGCGGCCGACGACAGACGTGAACGAAAGAGAGAGAGAGAGAGAGAAAGAGAGAGAGAGAAAGAGAGAGAGAGAGAAAGAAAGAGAGAGAGAGAGAGGGCTTGCATTCAGAGACACACACTCGCGACGAAATTCACAAGGCGACGCACGACCGGCGAGTTTTGTCCCGCTTTGGTGATGAATTCGCCATGCACGCCCGTCCGGTGGCCGGCCACCGTCGCCGAGGTTCCGTCGCGACGCAGCAGCTCGGGCGCCATTTTTGACTGACTGTCGAGCGTGACAACGCGTAGGCGAAAAAAAGAAGAGAGCGCGCGAGAAGGAGAAGCGCGCACGGCCACTCGTGCTTGACCTCGCGACCGCTGCTCAAGGCCGCTTCGTTTTAATAATTCGGAAAAGAGAGAGAGAGAGAGAGAGAGAGAGAGAGAGAGAGAGAGAGAGAGAGAGAGAG